TGTTGCTTGCCTCACACATGTCGACCCACATTTCCAATTCCTCCGCCCTAGCCGGGGGGACCTCTGGCTCAACGACGCTCTTGCCGCCTCTCGAGTCATCATCGTCATCCTCTTCAACACTACACTCCGATGAGAAGCTGACAGCATCCTCGTCCTCCTCAGTGACCCCCCCAGGCTTAGATGCCGACTCGCGTGGTATCACATCAACTACTCTAGGGACCCTGAAAAGATTCCAATTTTGTCCAGTGGTGACACAGTGGTGTAACCCTAGTACTTGACAGGGGGTTCTCCCAGCTCGCCCAGGTCGACCATTCCATCATTCATCCCCCGGCCCAACTGCGGCACCTCCTGGCTGCTCACCAGAACGTCTCGTTGATCCTCATCATCGTCTCGTGAGTGACCATTAGTCCTTCCTTGCAGTAGGTGTAGTTCGTCATCCCGATCGTCTACACTCCGCTTCTGTGGCGAAGACGCCGGCGGTTTCCGCTTGCCACTACCGTCACCTCCCTTGTCGAGCGAGTCCCGACCTTCTCCAGCCGAGGTCATTTCACAAGGTCGGCTGAAAATTAGTGTACCCGAGGTCGGCGACCATACCATCATGACTGCACTTCACACAACACGCCAAGGTCATCACCAAACCACTCAAGCTAAATGTCCACATGAAATTAAGACAATCACATCGTTTTAACAGATAACTGTTTTCGATCGGAGGAACTACCAACACACAAGTTCCGTGAGATCGAATCACGAAGCTCAACAGATACTACCCAAGACCACGAACTGATACCAACCGTCTCTCTCTAATTTCGTGGTGTCGACAATCGATGAGTTATCATCATCTGCCGAGCAGTGTTGATCATACTAGGAAATAAAAACCAACCTACAGCAAGATTGACAAGTAGCCACCCCCCTATGAATACTAAACTCAACACACTCTTCCTGAAATCGTAGCAGTCTCTGAGGAAATCACTAATGATACTAAAACCCAAATTACGCTCCGCCGATGTCGAGTAGCATTTTGCCGCTCCGAAAAGGTGGCGCTGGAAAACTCCCTTCAGTGAAAACTGCCTCAATAGCATGAGAGAGCGAACCGAGTCATAACTCAAATTCTGGTATGATAGTAGTTGCTATTAGTTCGTCGGCAAGTCCTGTCCATCGACAAAGTAGTGACCATTCGTGAGGTATCTCTTCCGTTGCTCCTTTACCTACACCAGACCACAGCATGCGACTTGGTGAACGAATGGCAGTGAGCACAACGCCAAAACTACCAATAGTCGAGCGAGATCGTTGATCAACCACATTGCATGATAATTCCACAGATGTTAGTACTAGCTAGTGAAATAACAGCAAAGTGCAACCTGTTCCATTATGAGTGATTTTTGGACGAGCATAAAATGTGATTTTTTCGTGAGTCCCAGCGAGTTTTTTCCACGATTCTAACACCACCTGCAAGCGCTTGCGAATGGTATCAGAATTTCCTGAATATTCAACTTTTTCACATTTTTCTTGGGACACCCTGTAGTATCATAAACGATGCTAGCATGGGCGACACCACTAGTAGTTCACCTCGTCATGTAACTCCTCGGTCCATTTCTCCATCGACTGTAACCACGTAGCCTCGCTAATCTGTAGGTCTCTGACACAATCAAGAGGTCTCAGGTTCGAATCCCACAGCGGGTGTTTCATCATACCTCCGTAAAACCTGTTGCCACTGCTCTGAGTCAACATCTTCCACCGCTAATGCTAGCTCCATCAGAGCCATCCTAGCGTTCTCTGCCGAGCTCCCAGCTGGGAACTCCACATCTGCAAACCAACACTCATCCCTCTACTACGACTGAGCAGTACTACTCTCGAGATCCTCCAATGACATCTTGGCGAAATGCTCACAACGCTCACAAGTCGGCAATGGCCTCCACTCTACTGTCTGGTCGTCCATAGACTTCGAACCAGCCCGAGCAGTGCCACCAAGCTGGGTCTGCAGCTCCTCTTGCAAACTAACTTTACCCATGGCAATCTGACACAGAAACCAGTGATGGAGAAAGGGGACTCGCCGGGACACCAACCTCATAAAGATGCTTGGCTGACGCAGGACCAGTATCCTCCACCATACGAGTGAGATGGCCAACTGGATTCGAAAGCAGCTCGGCGGGACTACCAGACTCTACTATCTGAAGTGAGGAGCTTCAGCTACCACCACCACCGACTGCCACTTGCCCTAGTACCTGTCCTCGGTCCATTGCTATAATACGATGACCATCTATAACAGTGCTGAGCCTATGAGCAATGGTGATCACAGTACACCCAGCAAAGGCCTCTCGAATGGTCAACTGCACCAAGGCGTCGGTCTGGGCATCCAGCGATGCCGTGGCCTCATCAAGGACCAGTATCTGCGACCGTCTCTCCCCTTCCTAACGACCGTCCTACGACTTACCTTCGATTTCCTCAAGATGACCCTGGCTAAACAGACCAGTTGCCTCTGCCCTGCCGAAAGGTTGCCTCCTCCAGCAGCTATAGACGTGCTCAGTGGCATGTTCCGTAGATGAGCACTCGCCAAGGCCTTCGACACCTCTTCGTCACTGTGTTTGCCGAAAGGGTCCACGTTAGACCGCAAAGTGCCACCAAAGATGAGGGGATCCTACAGTAGACCTTCAAAAGGGGATAAACCACATCCTACTCACCTGTGGAATAATACCCAATTTTGATCGCAGATCTCGAAGGCCAATCGTCGAGATGTCAATGCCATCAATGGTGATCCTGCCACTCTCTATTTCGATGATACGGAATAGAGTCAGCAACAGAGATGTCTTGCCAGCACCCGTACGGCCGATGACGCCAACCTGGAAAACCAACCATAGGCACGACTAAGCACTCAGGCCACGGCTCCACAACAGGAGCACGTGGTAGATCTCCCTCGGTCAAAACAAGGCCACTCACCTTCTCGCCACCCGCGATGGAGAAACTCACATTCCGCAGCACTGGAGCCAGATCAGAGCGGTATCGAGCTGTGACCATCCTGAAATCCCAACTCTACTGAAAGACGACTTCAGCTCATTCTCACTTGTAGGTGATCTTCCCATCATGTGGCCAGTCCTTGGGCGTCCTATTACTCTCCACCACCGAGGCTGCTTCCGGTTCCACTTCAGAATACCCCACGATACGTTCCACCGAGTTGAAAGCATTCTCGGCCATCGCTATCACTCTCGTCAACATACTCAGCGCTGCAGTTATCTGAACAACGAAGGGAACTCTCCCTAACTACACCACAACATGAATTCTCACTTGCAAGGCACTGCTGATAGCCAAACCAGCGACGCCTTGATTGATAATATTGCGGGCCATGATCAGAAAGACCGCCGTTATGAGCACGAGGAAGCCACCAAAGGCCTCGAGCCGGATGGCCAACCAACGGTTACTGGACATCTGCACCACATTACAGCGAATGTGATGGTCTATCAGATAGGAATTAACGGCGTCCATGGCGTCCTGCTTGCGGAATGCCAGGATAGTCGAGATGCCTGAGAGGACACTATTCCATTCGAGCTGTCACCCGCCCTCACCATCCTGGGTCTGCTGGAAGTGGTTGTATATGGGACTTCTAGTGAGGGCATCCAACCTCTTCACTTCTCGACTAGTGCATCTGTAGTAGTTCTGCACGTAATAGAAGGCCAACAACACTGGTGCGAAGGCTATAAGCGTATAGTAAGCAGACAAAGACAACAGCACCATAGTCCCTATGAGTGTAAGGACAGAGTTCACCGTCATTGTCAGCGATGGAGCCAAGTTACGGTCCA